CACATCAAGCTTCCCGTGTCGAGCCGTTTTGCTGATCTCGTCAAGAGCAAAATATCACTGTTCCCTTAAGCTGAATCAATGTAGTTTGCTGTTTTAAGTCAGTAGCCTGTAGTTTACTTTCAAACGAGTTGCTTGACTGAACTTTAACTAATTTAGTTAACTTGCAGTGTGTGAATTGTGATTGAAACTTTATGTAGAAATAAAGCCGTCTGAAGCACCATTATAGTTTTATTAATATTTTGAAATAATTTGTACTTTTTATTTACTGTTTTCATTTTAATTTTATTCAAAGTTTTAGTGATTTCAGCAGTTTTTGTAATTTATATTAGTTTTTTTTAAATATGTCTATATAGTTTTTATTATTTTTATTTCAGTTTTAGTTGTTTTAGTGTTTTTTAGCATCATTGAGATACTTTTATAGTTGTTATTAATATTTAAATAAAATTTGTCTTTATTTTTATATTTTATGTTTTTATTTTAGTTTCAGTTTTAGCTATTTTGTTTGTGTTTGAGTTTTAGTATTAGTTATTTAATACATCAAGTGAAGCTAAATTAAAATGAGAAATTTTGCCTTGGCAACTAGCTGAAATAAGTTTTGTATTTTATTTAATTTCAACTACAGATAGTTTTAATGGTTTTAATTTTATTTTTAGTTTTAGTTAACTACAGTAACCCTGATTTTAGTAGGCCTACAGCAAGTTCAATTAAAAATTACAATTAAAATTTTGCTAAAATAAAACGGGTTTATGTTTTTTAATATTTTATTTATTTATTTATTTTATACAATTTTATTTTATTATTTTTATTTATTTATTTATTTATTTTATTTTTTAGAATTACTTAACTATAATAACTCAGGTTTGAAATAGACTGACACCTCTAAACTCTAAACTGAAATTTTCAGTCCTCATTGAGAGCAAGAAAATCACAGCCAGTCAGAACATACTTGAGGTTTAATATGCAGCATTGTGGACCAATGAGATTTTACTGTGGGCGGGGATAAATGGTTTTGGGTCAAAAAAAAAAAGTTCCATGCCAATATATGCATTTTTTATTTTTATTTTTTTGCCAATAGTTGCATGCATTTTTTTTTTAAATAATGAATATACATCTTTGCTGTAAAATATTCCATAGGCTAAATTTTGCTGTCACGTAGAATAAAACTGGTTGGAAACCCATAGTTATATGTGATTTGTGAGTGAATTGTTTGTGTGAGTCACTTCTTTTCTAAGAATTGTTTCTGCATTTGGCAGACACTTTTATCCAAAGCAACTTACAGTGAATTATATATAAAGAATCGAACTCAAGCATTGGTGTTTCTAGTGTAATTTTTTACTCTTTTAGCTACAAGAATGCTAATTTGAGCAACATGAAACTGTAAACAACTTGAGAGGTCATGGAAAAGTGATGGTGATTCACTGGTAAAAAGAAAAGAAAAAGAAAAAGGTTTGGAAACTTTGGAGAAGAACATGTTTTAAACACAAACGCTGCAGGACGAGTTTGAGGTTTGAACTAGTAATCTTGACGCTTGCCAATAGTTAGTTGTGTTGTTCAGTAATCGTGTGAAATCTTTTGCATGTGTAGAATTGAATGTGAACATGTGCGCGGCGTGTTGCGAGGCGTGTGTTATCCTGCATGTGTCCGTGTGCCGCTATAATGCGAGGAGGCAGTTTTGTGATTAAACAGCATGTGTTTCATGTTTTGAGGGCATGTGTTTTCTTTCCCAATCATGTTGGGATCTGAGACGCTCACACACACACACGCATGGATGTTTGCATTTTGTTCACATGTATTTCCTGCGAGAGGGCAGGATGGCGGGCATTTGAAGGGGCTTTGATCTGCAAGCTTTAAGGTGTGTGTCAGCGCTGGGACTGCTGGGAGCTTTTGTCCGGCTGTCCCCACCTCTAATTGAGACGTCGTCTGTGTTTGTGGACAGGGACGGAGCGCCGGAGGCCGCGGCAGAGGGAAGTGATTTGTGTTTTGTAGATCAGTGACAGCAAAGAGAGCTTTATCACGACAGACTCAAGCTGAGAGGAATCAACACGTCGGCCTCTTTTGTTAGACACTCGGGGAACGGCTTTACAGATGTCACAGTGTGTGTGTGATGGGCCCAAGTCAACATACAAATCTAATTATATATATATGTAAAAAAAAAAGTGTATATATACTGTATATACTGTGTGTGTGTGTGTGTGTGTGTGTGTATATATATATATATGTGACGTATCAGCACAGCTCC